CGTAAGAATCTTGTAGTTATCTTTTCTACATTAGATGCTTCAGTACGGTTCAAGTAAGATGTACCACTGCCGGCTATTTCTTCTTGGCCTTGTGTTACATAGAAGAACATTGGCTTGTCAGGAGCAGGCCATGGAAAATCAATTTTCAATAATTTTCTTTCATCCGCACATACTCCATTTTGAAGAGAACCTTCATAAAAGAAATTAGACGGAAATCGTGAAAGATCTGGATGCATACGATATTGCACTTCAAGACGGAAAGGTCTAATGCCAAGGACAACCAGTCTTTCAAATAGCGATTGAGACAATCCTGCTCTTGCAGCTTTCTTGCACATAACAACAGGTCCTAATTGACAATGATCTCCAACAAGAATTAATTGCTTGGCTCCAAGAACAACTGGTACCATACATTCTGGTTCCGTTGCTTGCATGCTTTCGTCTATAAGTATAGAATGGAATTTCAATCTGTGCAATCTTGGATCACCTGCACCAACGCAAGTGCAACATATTACATCAGCTGCCTCTAACAATTCCTTTTCTGCAGCTTTCTTCAATAGTCTATAACGTTTTTCATCAACGCTTGACAATTCACCAGTTTCGTCTTTCAATTGTTGTAACTTTTGTAATTCTGTGTTTGTTTCCATATTTTTGATTTGATTGTGCAATGCGAGAAAACTCACAGGGGAATCAATAGCTTCTCGTGATTTTGCACAAAGACGTACAACTTTTAAATTAGATTTATGTACCTTTTCGGTAAGTTGATCAACTGCAGTGTTAGATGGTGCACAGACAAGTACTGGACCTCCATTTTGTTTGACTAGTTGATAAACTATTGTAGCGCTAGTTACAGTTTTTCCTGTACCAGGAGGGCCTTGGATCAAAGACAAGGGTCTTTGTATAGCATGCTTTACAGCATATACTTGAGATCGATTTAAATCTGGTAAGTTAGGAGCACTAAAATGTTTTGGAAGATGACAACGAAACAGAACTTCTTCTACTTCATGGCCCAACAATCTATGATATATGTATGCTGATACAGATGTATCATCAACAGCAAATTTTCGTAATGCTAGTTGCATCCTATGAAAAAGAAACAAATGTGTATTATTATATACGTAACTATTAGTACTATGAAATTACATTAAGGATAATATTAAAATATATTCTCTTACCGATCAAAGCTTGTACTTTTCCAAATGAAATCAACAACAAAATTACTCATGCACTCTGTAGGTGCACCTGCGTTATTTTTCAACTCTATACCAACTTCCTCTCCATAATTATCAGGAATTTTGATAACGTGTCCAATACCAGACCATGGTTTATGAAGTTCTCCCAAGTAACGAAGTCTTAATTCATCTCCATGCATTAATTTCATATCACCATCAGTCTTAGCTAACATGAAATATGCTATTGTCTTTTTATTCAAACCAACATCCCATCGTACTTCAATATTTTCTTGAGTTTGGGATTCCTTTAAACGTTTGTCGTAATCGGCTTCCAGCTTAACAAGCGGACCAAAAATATTCTGATATTGATATCCATCTTCGTAACGTAGCAAAACTTGTTGCGGTTCTTCATCCACACCAGGCTTTTCAAGGTCTTGAAAAGTCGCGTCGACATTGTCTCGCCACAATTCTTCCAATTTATTAATCTGTTGAGCAGAGATTTGTCTGGCTCTTAGTTGTTCTTGTTCAGATGGTATCTTTACAAGCCATGCTAAAAAGCTACGATCTTCTATCAAAGGTTTCCACTGTTCCTGATCCCTGTTTGTAATATATTAAGATATACATTAATCAATATTTATTTAGTGCACACATGTTTCTTTATATTTGAAATCATTTTACATACCAATTCATATCTTTTAGAGAGCTCTGGGCTGCACAAGGTTGTCGACATAATAATACGACTACTGAATCTGCTTTAGCCGGTATAAAACCAAGAACAAACACATTTCTAACAGCACAGGAATAACATTCTAACACAGTTTCTCCCAATGGTCCATCTCTAAAATAATAATTAAATGTATAAATTAATAATCGAATAAATGAAATATAAACATTTTAAGTAAGAACAATATAAAAGTTATAAATACTTGTGCAATGTAACTTCTTTATGTTTTGCTCGAACAAGGTGATTGATAATATGAGAGCCAGATGTATTGCCTCTTCCATTACAGAACCATTTACGACATACATTGCACATTACAACGCATGAGGCTTCGTGAATACCACAGTATTTGCACGCATGTTCTGGTAAATCACGATTATAATATGCCTCTTCTTCTTCCTCTTCAAATTGTAAGTCAGCAAGACTTTGAGCAGCTCCAGTAATTTTTAAGTCCAATGATGAACTACCGCCTGTTCCATTAACCTATACCAAAACAAACATCTCTATAAATTTTGCACTGTCGCATTATATCATATATTTCATATAGCGCACCAACTTTCTGTTTTAATATAACGAATACTTCTACTTTTTAAATATAACCTTGTCAATCAAATATAATATTAAATTTGAAGAAATTGAATAATGCTATAACATATATGCATCGAAAATTTTCATATATCTACGCAAAGCAAAAATTTGTAATTGCATTAAAGACAAATGTAAATGATAAATTTTGAGTAATGTTCAAGGTCGTATCGTCGAGAAGAAGGACGATAAAAACAGAAAAGAATATTTTAAAACGAATAAAATAATTTTCTTAAGGACAGAAAGATAATGAAATAACAATCGAATGATTGTTAAGGAAAGTAGAATAATGTAAGTATCATATCGCCACGTTTGTTCATAACATATACAATGTTTTACCCTTAAATCAAGAATGAGAGGTTATGTCTTCACCGCATGGTTCTCTAGGGAAAACATATTTATAAGATTGTTTAGATAATAGTTTAATAAATAAAGTATCTAAAGATAAACTAAGAACATGTGAAGAATGATATAGTTAAGAATCCAACCTGCATTGGCTGACTCGGTTGACTTTGAGCCGCATCATGTTGCGAAGCCTGTGTCTGGCTTGGCGATGGTAAAGTAAAATCCGTGAAGTCAAATTCACTTCCTTGAGTATCGGCACCTATTAAATCAGCTTCCTCAGTATCAAGGAACGTTAGAGTTTGGCTACTTGGCCCATAAGCATCGACGCTCATCCTGCTGCACGATCCGACACGACGTCGTCTTTTTTATCGTTCTTCTTAAAAATACGTGAAATTCGAATCGCGATCGTTTGATTGATCGATTAAACGATTTATCCTCAATTGAGATAACTTCACAAGGTCTATGCTATTTCGTTTTAACTTCCAAAATATAGCTCTGATCAAGCACGCACGTCCGTACGGTTTGAAACCAGATTCTCGAAATACTACGATGAACGAGGCCACAATCCTACGCCATACTTTATATCTACTACTCACGCTCACTAATGCAAGTCACCAATATACATGCACACCTACACAACGAATAACAAGTTTGTCTTTTCCGGCACCCCTCTATCCTCGTCCATTTAGTATTACGTCATCAGCTGATTTCCAAAACTTCTAAGAATTTCGTCATAGAAAGAAGACATTAGGCTTTATCTTAATAGGCGAACGTTCATTGAAAAACCATTAAAATGCCATTATTATTTGTTGCATATTTATTAAAGAGTTAATGTTTTATCAATTGCGCATTTTTGATAAATATTATTAACTTGAGATACTAATTACTTTTTAAATGTTAAAATTAAATAGAAAGGGAAAGGAAATGTACCGCGATTATTTTGAATACGATTAACTTGTTACTGCGATGGAAACAGTCTTAAGTTTAAACGTGATTGGTTATAATAGAAATTCGTTGATGCGCTCCAATCAACGCTCGTTTTCTTTCATTCTAGATGGCCTTGTATGCAACTGGCGCTTTATTCAAATTTTATTTCATATCTCTACCCCTCCATTCCTTTTTTCCATTTCGATTTGGTAACTCTAATAATTATTTATCATCGAAAACATGATAAACAATATATTTTACATACATATATCGTATGAGTTGCACACTACACTTACAGATAGATTAATGGTAATTACTATATCTATGATAAATATTTTTATCAGAAATTTGATAAGTTTGTCATATCTTCCCATAATGGGAATATAATAAGAAAGTAATGGGAATGTAATGGGAATATAATGGGATAATATTGTCATATTGAAAACATATGTATGATAATTTCCAATTTCCCCTGATTCTTAAAATGATAAATAACATATGTATATTTGTCTTGCAGCTAATTTATTGTCATTTTTAATATATTATGCGTAAATACGTACACATAATTATATAACAATGTTGTAAAGTATATATATATATACCTAGGTACATAAAAAATAATAAATACAAATGACATATATGTACAATTATCGTAATTAAAATGACTTCACTTATATATAATATGTATCGGTGGTAATAGTAAAAAAGATGGCTACTTATAATTAATAGTAAAAATTCATGACGATTAATCTATTTATTCTTATATAATATTTGTTATTAGGTTTGCGTTTTTACATTTTATTCAAGTCCGTTTATTCTTATATTTCACTTATAAAGATTCTTCTTTCTTTCTTTCACGAAATGCGTAAGAAATGTTTGAAAAATCAGTCTTATCATAACGATTCATTGTTTTGATTAGGATTGATTAAAATCGCTTTTATATATATATATAGTTCAAGTTAACTTAATATAATTATATTTACACATAAACATTAGTTGTTCTAAAAATTGATATGAACGACATACAGTCGCGACAAAAATCGGATAGGTATCTACGATTATATAACATTTTGAAATGAGTTCTATTTTTTCGTGAATACTATCAACATTTTTTCATTCACACCGTATGAAACTTCGTAATGGAATATTTTTCATTGTTACATTTTTAAATAATTACGATATTAACGAATTATTTGAGAAATATTTACACATATTACGCATTCAATAGATATTGTTATAATATGTTTGTTGAACAAAATATGTTTCTTGAATTTTTCATCAAAGATCTTAATAAAAAATTATTACCCCGTAAATTTATATCAGTAAAATGTTGATTATAATATTCTGGAAAAGCAGAACAATTGTACAGAAAACACGGAATAGAAAATCGAATACAATCACATTTTATATACACAAATTTCTAATTAGAACACAGTACGATTCTATGATTATTCGTAATCAATAGATCGATTATTAATTTTAACAAACAAATTGTAAAGAATATTTTTGAATGATCGACGATCAGTAACGCTATCGCATAAACCGTACGGACCTATTTTTTATATTCGTAAGTGAGCGAATACGTTTATGCTATAAAATAGCACGTTCAGCTCGTAAATTCCAATAGGCTCGATCCGGTACAGAAATGCTAGCGGTTATGGAAGATCAATAAAGAGGATTAGGCGAATTCCTTTGGAAATTAGATTGTTGATTCTGACTTTGCTGAAGAGGTCCTGCAGGACTGGGTCTACCTCCATCGCGATACTGAGGTGGTCCAGGTGGTCCACTAGATGGTCCAGATGGGCCAGGAACTTTACCATAATTTCCCCTGGTCGAACCTTGATAACTACCATAAGCCGAGTCATCGCTGCGTCTTGATACATGACCGTACATACTTTCTGGTCTCCTAGAATTAGTTGCATTATCAGAATTGGTTGAAAGTGTGCCATTAGGATGTTGTTGCGGTTGCTGGGATTGTTGTTGTTGTTGTTGCTGTTGCTGTTGTTGCTGCTGTTGTTGTTGCTGTTGTTGATGGCCTTGAGTAGAGGATTGACCACTCTGTCCAGATTGATGAGAGCTTTGGCTACTCGGTGGTGGTGCAGGAGTTCTAGCATATATACTAGATCCTGTAGACATACCATAAATTCCATTCTCCCGCGTACTCAGACTCGTCGATATTCCTCTTATGCCATAGATACTCTGCGTACATTGTTGCAATTGATTCTGCATGTTTTGATTGGTACTGTTATGATTTTGGGATGATTGATTAGGACCGGCTGCTGGTTGTTGATTATCTCTCGGTGGATTTTGAGACGAAGATTGTCCTATTCTCATTGGATAAAGACTTTGAGCTGGTACAAGTGGACCTGGCTTGGGTATCATCAAACCATCTCGTGGACCGGAAGTTGATTTAGCGTAAACGCTTTGTGAACGATTCAGATTCGCTCTTGTCAAAGGTGGGGATTTGCAATAGAGTGACTTGGTGCCACCGTAGATCGATTCGACGCGTTCCAATGCTGAAGGTGGTGCACTATAGATCGATGATGATGCACCAGCAACTGGACGATAAGTAGCATAAGCTCCTGGAAACTTTGGTCCACTTGGTTTGTCTAAATCATCGTAAGGATCTTCGTCCGATCTCATCGAAGAATTATCACCGTCATCTATTTCACGAGACTCTTTCGATCTTTTGGTACTAAGAACGAATTCGTAAAACAAAGTTGCTAAGACACTACCCAACATCGGACCAATCCAATAAACCCAGTGATACTCCCAACGATTCATTACAAAAGCAGGTCCCAAAGCACGGGCTGGATTCACAAAAGGACTCTGTAATTAAAATGGAAAAGATTATGAAAGTTATTAAAATATTACGAATAATATCTTTTGAAATATAAATTGGAAAGTATTCATTTCAAGTGAATTGGTTAAGATTAGAAAAGAAATAACTTGGAAATATTTAATCTAAAAAGAAATACATTTAACAATTAGATTGTACTAGTAATAAAATGTCTGGTTTGCATTGGGTTAACATTTCAGTAAATTTTAAGTTATAAAACAAGAAGATCGGAAGCTTTGAAATGTAACACTTTTTTCTTTCTTTTTCTCTTAAACCGAAGGTTGGTATTTAATATGTGCACGGTAGTTTCGGTATTCCTTGGATCGAGGTTCATTGTACACTCGTTCCGAAGCAGGTGGTACCGAGATCAAGTTCTTTTCGTCTTTCTCTGTTACTCCTGTAACAGTCGCGGCAGGTGTTATCCACAGACGCGGACGTTTCATTCCGATTCGAAAGACGTTAGGAGAGAAATTTTGGATAGACTGGTTACGGAAGGAAAAGAGAAAAAATGTCCTATTTTCAAAACCGTTGCTGCATCCACGTGGCACACTTTACAATATTTTCCAAGTTATTTCTTTTTTCATTTACTCGATCAATATTTTGAAATATTTCACGTCAGTATATTGTAAAGCAAATTGACAGTATACATGAATATTTTGTTCAATATAAATAATTATTTGTCAGTATTTTAATTCAATTTACAGTAGAGCTAATTAAACAAAAGTACTTGATTGACGTATTCACTGAGCTTTCGAATATGCATGAGCCTAGTGCATCATACACTAGAGATAAATGATTTCCAGCAACCCTTATACATATTATTAATTTACCATTTACCTTTTTTTAAATGAAAATATCCTAAAAAATTTTAACTGACGATGACGATTTGAACAATTTCTCTCTTTACCATTTATGAAATATATACTTATTATCGATAATATCTTACTCGTATTAAAAAAGAAAGAAATATTATTTACCGAAACAAGAGATGCAGCTGTATATGCGGCACCCAAAACACCCGTTGACATCGAGGAGATTCCAAAGGATAAAGTTCTTGCCGTTTCTGCAGAAAAATGGGCCAGAATGATAAGAACCGAAAGTGCCATTTCTACTGAAAGTTTTTCAATAGCACCGTTGATACGTCCAGACGATGTTAACGTTTGTGTATTCGAAGGCGTCGTAATTCTGAAATCAAATTAATTTTGACTCATTAGCATATCGATTATATTTGTTTATTAACAAGCAGGAAAATTTATTGGAAAATAAAATAATTGTATAACTAGTATCGATCCAATTCCATAATTGTTCAATGCTCACATATGGCATCTATGTTAGTCAAGAGTTATGATAGTATGTACGAGTTACATGTACGCTGTATAATATACGATGATTTTTCCATTGATAATACAGAACGCGTTAGACCCTCTCGTAAAAGCCTCCTGCTGATGTAAATCCGTCCCAATGGTATAATGTTTATATTAGCTGGTGCATCTTCTAGCCCCTAGTTTTTATCCTATGTCCATTCTCATTCTTTCTATCTTTCTCATTTTACCATCCTGCCGCGTGAAAACCCCGTCAATTTTCTCAGCCTATATAATCATACGGGGTCACAACGATGTGACCTTTGCATTTCACCCTTTGGATGCGTTCATTGAGATTCATGCATATATTTATGTTAAATTCCTTATTCTTCTTTTCTTTTGAGTATCTACTGTCTTTTCTTTATTCCAATTTTATTGTGAAACTTTTAATTTTATTATAAAGGGTTTATTAACGAAAAGAACCATTGTATTTTTCAATGATATAGATTAGTTTTTCTTAGTTTTGATTTTGACCTTTTTATCATATCTTGATAGATTCATCTAAGCAATGTGTGACAAACTCTTAAAAGTCTCCACACCATTGACGATAAATCTCTAACTAAATAGCTACTTTTACTCGAAAGCAAGTATCCGTGCAACCCCTCATTCTAATCTTATGTTAGTCGCGTGCAGTATTCTAACATTTTCTTCCTCCCTTATTCTCGTCGTGCATGCTAATGAAAAATGTCCCCTTCAAAGGGTCTTTCCATCTCTCTCTTTCTCTCTCTCTCTCTCTCTCCTCATCGAATTGATGAAACGAGAAATGCAGATCATGACCGCACAATTGGGATCAACTGCATAAACGTAGTTGTAGTAGTTCTATACAAACGAGTGAATGAGAGAAATAGGGGGGTGGAAGTGGGAGTGAACGAGAAAAAGAGGAGAAGCTTTCGAAGATCGTTTTTTTTTTCTCTCATCGACTTGCGTGCCCCTACGTGATAAGCGGATTTCTCAGATTTTTTGTTCTAGTTTGTTTTGTTTCTTTTTATCCCCTATCTTTTCGTTTTGTTTTTTTTTTGACACACGAGCAACACTGCAACACAAATTTTTTCCCATGCGAGTTTATTACACATGATGAAATTTCATGGAAGAAGGATTAGTTGTACCTTTCTTTTTTTTTTCTTCTTCTTTTCATTTACTTTAGTTATTGTTTGTTTTCTGAAAGAATTCCATGAGGAAGAGAAAGAAGAGATGAAAATGGGATTTATCATTAGTGTTATTTTATCTTGACAGTATTAACTTAATTCCGTATTATTTCATTTGTTGTCATAGAATTTCTATTGTATCATAGTAAAAATTATTTTCGATATAATAAACGGATTTGATGTAACCGCTTGCGTCAAGACGATAAAATTTTATTCCAGCCAACAAATTCTTTTGATTGCAGGTGGAAGCATTTGATAAGTTAAACAAAATAATTTATTCTAAAGGAGTGTCCTACCTTTTGTTTAAATTTCTTTGGGTCACGTTTGAAGACAAAAACTTTGACGATAGTGATTAAGGAAAAATGTTAATAAATAATAATGTACACATAATATAGGTTTTAAGAAAAATTTTCAATTTTATACTTGGTTGCGTGACAGACTACGCGAGTCGTGAGTTGAGCAACCCTACTTTAAAGTATTTTTTTTATGCATTTTACTAAAAACAAAAAAAAAGTAAAGAAAAGAAAAGAAACTTAAATGTGTGCATGAAAAAGAAAATTGAACTGGGTCAAACACAGTGAGTCGAAAGTAATCGTTATGCAAGTGATTAATAACTTCGAAGTATTCGCACACATATCGTGCTCGTGTTATACATATAATTTGAATGTTTCTATACGTGCATATGTAAATATGTATTCCATATATGGTTTAAAAAGAAAAGAGAGAGAGAGAGAGAGAGAAAAAGTAACTGAAAGAAAATTTGATATATGCACAGAAATGCAAATACGTAAATATGTATTTACGTATTCGTGAGATGATAAGTATCGTCATATCGCGGAACTATAATAACAGTGGCCCTTTAATTTCTCGTTCACTTAGAAAGCTCTAGTCGACTCTGTTCCATTTTTGTCGCTTTCGAGGAGCCTATTTTTATCCGCAGACATAAAGAGAATGCTTTTTTACCTGCCTAGTACATACCCTGCGGCCAACATCATAGACTGAGGTCTTTCATTCTCATCCATTCTTTTTACAAAGTATATGTGCTATATGCAGGTAATATGTACTTTCATACACATATGTGGTGGATGAGTAAAGATATTTTTTAAGAGTTGTGTTAAAAAGTACGGTTTATTTAGAAAAATTGTATCCTTAATTCAAATTGTTTATAAAAATTGTTGAATTATTAGGGAAAAAGGATAACATTTGTTTCTCACCAAAAATTATTTCTATATATATTAGTTTAATATATTGAAATAGTCAAGAAATATTGTTCATATCGTAGATAAATTTTGGAAATTTGTATTCTATTACTGTCCATTCTTCTGAAGCGTGAATTTTTCTAATTTAAAAAGAAGGGAAAGAGTGGTTGATGAAATCGGATCCACCGAAGCGACATTGCAAAGACAGGAAGTTTAATCTTCCATGCACTTGACACAGGAGACCCTGTGAACGTGAAATTTAGACTCACCCTTTTCCCTAATAACCACCACAACTGTAATGTTAACCGAGACAATGGCCGAGCTAATTTCGATCCATTCCAACAACAACTATACGATAAAAATCATTGAGCGTAACCCCTCCCCGTCCTCCTCCTCCCACCTGTAATAGACTATTCCAAAGACTCATTACTGAAGAAAAACTTGTACACTGTGGTGCATCATCTTATCGACGAATTATGTGTCGTTCCCACGCGAAATTATATGTCCGCCATTGTGAATACCGAACGGTAGAGTGGACACGAAAGATTGTCGATAAGTGTTTGCAAACTAAAGAAGACTAAGTTTGACAAACTTTTAAAATCGCGTGTTTCCCATTGGATACATGTAGAGAAACGATAGAGAAGTGTCGATAAATATTAAAATTTGAAGGGCGTGGGTAAGCATCGAACCGAAACGCACAGTTCCTTTCTTTACTTTTTTCGGTCCATCTACGTGTAATAAATCGAGAAGAGGAAACTTAATCTTGCGTGCACTTGACTCGAGAGGAGTTGGATGCAAGCACTTGGCTCATGTACAACCTGTGCACTATTTTCGCGATTCACACGAAGGGTGAATCTACCCCTCTCTTGAATAACCCCCGAAGGACGCCCCATGCGTACCGTTTTAAATAAATTTCAATCGCGATACCACAGTCGTCGTTCTTCTCACCCAACTACTATTACTCTTTCAAGTTTAACGAGCTATTGATACTCCCGTTTCATTTACTAGACCGCATGGATCACATTGATATGAGATTCGTTGAACCCTCGTCTATCTGTTCTGTCAACGACGAACGACGATGACGATGATACGAGAGAAGAGGGGGTTGTTGCATTTCAAACGTGACCAGATCGAAAGCACACGTGTTTAAGCACACGTTTACTATGAGAATATAGACCTTAGTATGTATGTATGTATGTATGTATGTATGTAAATTTATGCAATGGTTCCAAAATATTCGGACACTACACTATGACTCAATTTTTAGCTTCATATTTTGATTATTATTTTTAGCGATAGCTCATTTATCAAACTTGTTAAACATAAAAGTGCTTCAACAAAATATAAATGTAATATTACAGTACTGTAGGGTAAAAATCGGCAGAGTCAGCATAATGTTGAAATACTTCATTTCGTTATATAGAGTTGGATAAATTTTGTTCATGATCTATGTGTGTGCATGTGTGTATGTATGTATACGGTCAGTATTATAAAATTTTTCTCTTCGGGATGATGGGAAAGTTCCGTTCGTCCAGCAGCTTTGTGAGAAAGTTCAGATGCTGAAGGTCGAAGGGCCGAGCAGAAAATTGGCTTTTATGCTCCATCGAAACGGGGCCGGTGAGTGTTTCAACGAAGAACATTCGTAGGACTTGTCGTTTACTTTTACATGTAATTATGTTAGAGAGAGCGAGACTAATTTTTAATCATTTTTAGGACTCGTAACATAATTTTATGTTTTGTATTACTCGACGATTCGAGAAAGAGTAAGTATAAAGAATGCTCAAGTTTCGGGTTCGCTCGAATCTTAAGATACCAAGAATGCTTAGGCCTCACATTCCATAGCGATTAGCATCCTGAGAACCCAACGGTCAGCATTCGAAATAAAATAGTGGTCACAGATTGAAATAAGATTTCCAAATATTCATAAACAACCGGAATACCTGAAGATGAAAAAAAAAAAGTTAGTCGTAGAATAATATCCGAATATGTTTCATAATCGTAGTAACTTTTGTTCAAGTAAAAGTAAAAGAAAAGGTGTTAAAATGTTTTGCTAGAATCTTAGTGTGCATTATGGCATACGAGCCCAAGCACGAAAAGGGAAATTACATAATTCGTAGTAGATGCGCAGAAGGTAAGATTGCGGGCGATCGAGTAAACGGTGTCGTGGGAAACAAGCATCCCACATCCTCTCGGGACTCGGGTTTATATTCGACTGTGAAATCATCGAAGAATAAGGCACCAGCAGCATTTTTCTACTTTAAAAAATTTTTTTTCTCTTTTTCCTCCTTTTCACATCACGTAGAACTGACCTTCGTGAGAGTTAGCTACAAAGGCTAACCGTTTTCTGCTTTTCTTCTTTCCAGGAACTTGCGTGTTTTTCAGAATAAGATACTTATCAAGGTTTTTGGGTAGAGACTAACTAAAATTCCAACAGAAAAAAAATGGACAAAATAAATAAAAAAGGAATCCTGAGAGTGAGT